CACATCCGCATGACTTTGCTGATTTTGGCAGGGGACACTCCACAACTCACCTGTATGATTTTTGTAACTTGGTCTGACTTTTCCCCAGGAAGAGGGTGCTAGGGGGAGGAAATGAGAGAAAACTGTTAGCCAGTTTTGTGTAGTGGTTAAAGTGTCAAACTAGGATCTGGAAGAGCTAGTTCAGCTTTCCACCATGCCATGGAAGCTGGCTGTGTGACCCTGGGCCTGTTATTCTCTCTCAGCTAATCTCCCCCACAGGATTGTTGTGAGGATAAAATGGAGGAGAGAAGAACCATGTAAACTGCTTTGGAGTCCGCATTGTGGGGAAAGGTACAGTATTAAAGAAGTAAATAATAAATAGAACAGGGGACAGATTGAAGCAAGGTTGGTTGGTGAGTGGGAAGGGGAGAAGGACACAGGGAAAGGGGAGAAGATAAGATGGCTGCCTAGATGAGAGGAAGGGGAAAGTGTGTAGAAGGGGAGAGAGGGGGAAATGAAGTGACTTCCACAAGACCTTGTGGGTTCCTCAGTGGTGGCCTCACCATATGGATCAGAACTGCACAATGTGGCAAATGAAGTGGGTTGAGGAAATGGAAGTTGGAAATAGAGGAGAAGGGACAGACCATAAGGGCCGCAAGGGTAAAGGGTTGGGTGGACAATGAATGAAGCCAAGTTGGAACAATATTATATATCAATAATTGAGAACAGTAAACTTGTTTTTGGTGGTGTTTTTGAATCTTTACTATGTGAGTGTGTATTCATGATTGCTTAATACATCTTTTCATGGTGGAGCCAGGAAAAATTGTAAATTCTTACATTTAAACACAACCAAGATTGAATAAAACTGGGTTAAAAGTAGAAAATACTGCCGTAAAAGCAGTGTAATGCATACAAATAATGTAACAGAGCTGAATTTCAAAACTGAATAATGTAATAAGCAGTGTTAATATACTCAAGGAACAATCTTATTTCCTGTTATAAAAATCTGGAAAAATAACATTGTGGGAACTTTCCTGACCTCATCAGATAGGCAGCTTCACTGCACGAGAGGCAGATCCTCTACATGAGAGCCACAACGGAGAATGCTCAGAAATGGGCTGTTGCCAATCTTACCTAATCGCAGGGTGGCATCTTCATGAAGTTTAGTAACATAATCAAAGTAGCCCTAGCAGAGCATGTAGAAAGAAACTATCCTGTGGGTATCTGTGTCCTAAATCATGAAAATCCTTGTTGAGAATATGGTGGTAACCTGGTTGTCATCTCCACAACAAACAGTGAACCTCTAACTGTAGTCTAATTTTTCAGTTTCTCAGAATTCCCTTATTGCTTTAGAAAGTTCTGCATTGTAGATAATGTAGAAAGCAACTGGTTAAGGAATGAATTAATCCATAATGGTGTAAAATTTAAGTTTACATGTAAACAGGCAGTGAGAAGGATTTCATGTGCCTGTATTTTAATGTCGTATATCAAAACATTCTGTGGTGAAATAAGAATCCTATGCCTCTGTTTGACCCCAGGGGATCCATTGTTCTGAATTTGTGAATTAACTCAGATCCAGCGATCTTGTGTTGTAATCAGTGTTCCCTCTAAGCTGAGTTAGTGTGAGCTAGCTCAGTTTTTTAGCCTCCAGCCAAATCACTCGCTCCCAACTTTAATGCTAGTAGCTCACAAAGTAGAACTTTTGCTCACAAGACTCTACAGCTTAGAGGGAGCATCAGTTGTAATCGCCCCTTGTAGCTTCTCATCAAACACAGAAACTTCAAGGGGAGATTATAATGTGAAATTGCTGCCCTTGAGGAACATAGGATTCTTATTTAACTACGGATGCTAATTCTCTGCCCTTAAGCTTCTCCCCTGCTCTAATCAAACTGATAACATTTTACATTGTATGTTTGCATCCTGATGCCCTTCTTTGCAACACCCTTCCCTCCTTCTGACTGGGATATAAGGGCTCAGGGACCTCCATGCCTACAAAGGGAACCTTGACCTTTGGAAGCGTATTCCCTGAAAATCTTGCTGGTCTCTAAGGTGTACTACTGGATTCAAATCTAGCTCTGTTATAGTTTAGTATTCCCAAATTGTTGATTTGGTTTTCTGGTTATGTTTTGGGTGTTTAGTTCCTGTTGATGTTGGATGGTTGTATTTCTTACTACATCACTTGCTGGGTCTGTCTGTCCCAAATGTTTCAAATATTAGTATGAGCTTCTAAGTACTGTTATTTTATCGTCAGAGCTCAAGCAGTAAAACTGCAGAGGGTGACACTGGGAGAAAGGATGTCAGAGCTCAAGCAGTAAAACTGTTAAGGTTTTGTAAGACATTAAACTTGCACATACTTGTTGACAGTTCTGTAATTATTGGTTCACTAAGTATGTGCAAGATTTTTATTTCTAGACCACCCATGCAACACTGTCTACAAACAGTAAAATGAATACTTCCACATTTAGTTTCTCGAATCTTTGTTCAAATGAAATAAGGTGTTTCTGGGATTATAACAACTACACAAAGGGTAAATCAATAGTTTTTTGTCTTAATCTGATTCCAGAAGTACAAAAATGTGCAGTTGTTCAGAATGCATAGCAAGGGAACTGGGCAAACTTAATGTATAATATGTATTGTGTAATATGTATGTGATGTAATCAAGTTGTAGGAAATGGTACAGGAAGGTGCTTTTATAAAAAGAACAGGACTGTGTATACCACTTTGTAACACTGTTTTCTGCATTCAGGTATCTAATATGCTATGCTTTCCTTCAGATTGCTGTAATCTTAGTTATATTATACCTTATCTGATTGATTGCACTGATTTACACTGTGTAATCCACCTCAAATCTCAATGAGAAAGACAGACTATAAATAAATTAATAGCAAAGAAAGTATTTTTTGTTTGGCGGCCTTCCACTATTAGGTTTCCGTTTTGTCTCCTGGCCTTATTGCCTTTGTACCATTTTGGTTAAACATGAGAATTGTAAGTATAGCTAAATGAGCAACTGTAAGGATATCACTAGAAATTTGTTCATAACTTTAAAACCATTACTTGTAATAAATTGAACTTGAACCTGCTCATCAGCCCGCAGCTCATAATCAGATGATGAATTTCATCTCCCCCAGTCCATAAAATGCAGAAGAAACCAGACTCTTTAGAAAGTTAGAAAGATTTCTCTTTCCTACCAAGAGCAGAGAAGGGGGAACACATCTTATGATCTATTCCATTCCATAATGCTTGCCCTCATCAGCAGGTATGGGAAGGCATTTCCTGCTTATAATTGAAATTGCTGTTACATATAGGGCATTTGAAGCAGGACAGAGTAAAACAAAAGCTTGAGCCCAATAATCTCCAGACTACCAGGCAAAGCAAGAGGAGAGATTTTTTATTGACGTCAAGGTGCGCCGAGCCCAAGAGCTCTAAAACTAGCTGCACACCTGAAAAAGGACTTCGAGGAGTTTTTATACATGCTAGAGTACATGTCATAAACATTTTAAGCAATTTAAACATAGGCAATAGTTTTCCTAACTAAAAATTTACAGAGCAAAAGAGAACTGTCTTGCACATTTTCCTTATTTCACACACTTTCTGTAGGGCTGGTCTCTTTCAGCAATCGTTCCAGTTAGATTGCACCATCTAATGCATGCACCTGCTTTCTCAAACTTTTACTGAAAAACAGTTACTATAGCTTACAGGAATAAATGTCTTAACCAAAACCACAGACCCTGGCAGAATGTTGCAAGGTTCCTGTTGTTGGCTCTTAGTCAAGTGGGTGAAAAAAGGTGGGGGCAGATTGCAAATATCGATTTCAGATGTCTGATGACTTTTGAATCTGAGCAAAAGGATTTTAATCATAAAGCCTGTTCCCTATAGGGATTTTTCTATATGTTCCTTCACAGTAAGGTGGCAGATAGAAGCAATGTACCCTCTAAGATGTGGGGTCTTGTGAGCAAAAATTCTACTTTGTGTGCTACCAGCATTAAAGTTGTGAGCGAACAATTTGGCTACTGCATAAATTAGTTTGCTCTGGAGCCATCCTTCCTGAGCTAAGACAAAAATGTGTGAGCTGGAGACTAAAAAACTGTGAGCTAGCTCACACTAACTCAGCTTAGAGGAAACACTGGATAGAAGTATGTTTCTTGTAGGGTGTGACACAGCTTAAATGGATATTTCTTTCTTTTTGGCTGAACTTGGGTTCTCCCTTTTAATGTTCCTGAGCAACTGGGAGTAGGATTGGCCTGGTTCTGTCAGTTGCTTGGTAATGATCGTTTCAGTGACCATTATGGATTCCTGCAAGCCGCAAAATCTGCTGCTGAAGGCCATTGTTTGCAGTGTATGGGCCTACAACTAGTTCTTTGAGAAGTCAAGTTTGTTTCTTAATGTTCTGTTGGTGAATGTTAGTTTATTGGGGTTCAGAGAACAAATGTTGGTAACAGGTATATTGTCAAGTGGGGCACTTCTGAATCCTAGGATCAGTTATTCCAAATGGTCAAATCATAAGATGGTCTTAGCAAATTAAAATGTTAAAAATTTCTTGATCTTCACCAATCTAATTAGAATATTCAGACGGCATTGCAAGCAGTTAAGGCGGTAGCTGTGTAGTTAACACAAGTATCACTTTGGAATTCTCATTAAGTTTTTCACTTTTTTTTTACAGACTCCAAAAGACGTTTACATGGTGGAATTACTTTTGCAAACTGCACAAAGAAATGTGATTTATTTTCAAAACTGATAAGAAGAACATTGGCATGAAAGAGTGACTGTAATATTTGCCAAGTCTATTTTTGCAATGTATCAGCTATCTTATTTAAAAATACTTTTCTAAAGAATGATTTGCACTAACTAGAAGGAAAAGTGAAATGTTTTAAAGACTGTCAACAAGAATTCTGGTTCCTGAAATATATTTTAATTTTAATAATTCACTAGAACTGTGAGATCTGAAGACCTGCAGCACTATCTGAATGACCTGGTTTAAGACAATTGTCAGAAGTTTTTATTTGCCTTGCTTTGCTCAGAATACTTAATCTTTATAACCATATATTTGTTTCTTAAATAATGGCGTGGGTAAAGTTCTTGAGAAAACCTGGAGGGAATCTTGGGAAAGGATATCAGCCTGGAAGTGTGATGTCTTTGGCCCCTACTAAAGGCTTGTTGAATGAGCCAGGACAAAATAGTTGCTTTCTTAACAGTGCTGTTCAGGTAAGAAAGTGATTATATTTTTCATATTTTATTTATAATGCAAAAAATATGTAAGTAACATGTTGAAATCCAGTTTAATACTATAACACCAGCATTAATGTGGCCTATCTTTTAATGGGCCAGGGTTTTCTATCAAGTGTCTTTATAGTTTTTTGTAATGTCAGTGAAGACCCCAATCTTGTATATAGATAGTTTTAAAACTTTACATGCAAGACCTGCTTGAGAATATATGTGGGCAATGCTGCAGCACATATTTTGCTTTTCCCATAAAATAAGGTAAAATACCATTGAAACCATATTGGAAGACCTAACAGTTGTTTTATCAAATTTATCTACTTTTAGATGAATTCACTTGTCAGACCCAGTGAAATAGTGCTAAACATTATTTTTATTTTAGTATTTATTACATAAATCAATAAAAAACTTCAAATACATTGGTAGTACAATATCCATACAAAAACTAAAAGCAAGAGGGCAAAAAAGGTTTAACCTATAAATAACTGAAAATCTGTATAAAACATAAAACACTCAATAGACTATTCTCAGTGGAAAAGAAGAAAATAACAAAACAGATTTAAGTTCTCAAAACCCCAGAGAACTGGCTCTCCCTCCCATAACTCCTATTTCTCAAATAACATGTGAGTGTCTGCTGTACCATCAGGGGCCAACAGGCTCTCCAGAGCCCCCTCCTCCTTGACAATCCTGAGTGGCAAGGGAGTTTAATGCCACCCTAAGTCTTTTTCCTGTCTGTCTGCAGCCCTCCCTTGTAGGTGGTTAGCTGACAGGAGAACTAGCATGTCCTCCCAGGGCTGAGCCCCTGGCCTGTATGAGGAAAATTCACTCCTTATTCTCCCTGCCTCTCTGAGGTTTGTCCCATCCTCCCAGATTGATGAAGGGGAGCTATTGCCAGCTAGATGTTACTAGGCTGGACTGGACTCAAGCCTCACCCTCCACCCCCCCTCCCCAAGGGCTACCTTGCCTCCCTCCAGCCAGCTGATGCCAGCACACTAAGGCTCATCAACTGGCAGGGGCAAATTTTAATATATGTGAGCTGTTGTCAGGTGGGGTGCTCCAACTGGCCCTTTCCACCTCTGGTCCATGTGGGGGTGCTGGGTCTACTCCCAGAAAAAAACAATATTCACTTATAAATTAAAAGAGGGTGAGACGAGTACAAATACAGTAGTATCAATCAACCAATGTTTGTTTATGGTCCAAGACCAATGATCAAAGAAATATATATTCACAAATACAGTAAACTTTGTAATAAGATCATAGCAAAATCAATTTCAGTATTGTAATCTACAGTCCTTAATCCATATCTGCTCAATCAAAGCTTCTAAACATGGACGTATTTTATCTTTGAATTCATTATTCCAGTGCATTACAAGTAGTACCTGCTTGTCAATACATTTATCCTTACAGAAATCAATTTTGATTTTTCTATTATGTATTAATTTTGACATTAATGTGAAATCTCATATTGGGCTAACTTACCAAAATAGATAACTTTTTTTCTCTTGTCCCTCCCTCCCTCCCTCCCTCTCTCTCTGTGGACTACTTACATACTGACAGATTTTCCCCATCTCTGCCAGTCTCCCAGCCATTAAAAAGGTTGAGGTCTAGGTCTATGTGGATATGTTTGACTTTCTGTGCTTTAAAAATATTTTGCAGACAATTCAGTTGTAATTAACGCCCTTGTTGAGATGGGTGGCTAGTTTCAGTGATACATACAAATACATGTTTTCATGTATTTTGGTATAAATGGTAACATACAGTGGGTTAAAATTACATGTTAAACCAGAGGTGTCAAACTCATTTGTCACGAGGGCCGGATCTGACATAAATGTCACTTTGTCGGGCCAGGCCATGTGTGCCATAAAATGTAATGCCAGGTACTGGGGACATAAACTGTATAAAGGACAGCAGCTGGTAAGCTCTGAGCTGGTGTATCCTCGCTGCAAGGCGTCATGGACTGAGAGGGGGGTGCAGAGGAAAACCATATGGGCAGACTAGAGAGCCAGCAGTGCAGCACTGGGCAGACACTCCCACGCTGCTTGACTGTGCTGCAGATGAGGTTGTTCCACCATGCTGAAGCCACAATCAGAGTGGCTCTGCCCATTCCGCCTCGAACAGTCTCCTGTTCCATCCCTCGCGCTAGTTGCTTGCGGGCTGCATAAGAGCCCTGTGCGGGCCACGTCTGGCCCCTGGGCCTTATGTTTGACCCCCCTGTGTTAAACTTATGAATGTTTTATCTGGTGCTTAGGGCATTTCGTAATACAAGATGCACAAAATTCTCCTCTTTGAATCTCCTTTAACATGTGTGGTGTACTAACTCATTTATGTTTTTGTACTCTTGCTGGGGCTTAACAATTTAAATGACTTATTGTACACCACTCTGAGCCTGTTCGGGGAGGGTGGTATATGAATCCAATAAAATAAAATAAATGGTTTTAATTATGTTCTATAAGCCACCTCAGGCAGGTTCCCTGGAGAGGCGGCATAACATATTAATAAATAAGTAATTTATTAAGGGCTGCACAATCAGTGTCAGCATTGAGTTGTCAAGTGCAGGTTCCAGTATATTTTGATAAACCAGGAAGTCCTCAGGTTTTTATGCTCCTCCTCCTCTCCCTGCATGCAGAGCCAAGACTGATAACTTCCCAATTTGAAAGAAACTGCAGATGCTTTAACAGATGTAACTATTTCCAGCTAAGTATTGCAGCAAACTGCTGGTTCATTCAGATTGGGAAGCCTTCAGTTTTGGGTCTTTGGAGGGGAGGAGGAGAAGCACATACATGTGACTGAACACAGCCAGTGATTTATTATTTATTTATCATATGGCAGAGTGTGATGTGTTTGAAGTACATGTGAGCATAAAACAGAGATTTTGGCATTTCCTTCAATAGTAAAAGTTATCTTGAAAGTTTTGGTATACATGAAGTTCAACTTCATTTTAACATGCGTTAATAGCACGTATTCATTAGAGTGGATATACACTGGTTTGTATGCATTGTAATTGGTCTGAAATGGTATTAGTTTTTTCATCTTCCCAATTGGTACGTATTTTCAGTGTGACACTGTAACCATTCCAGTATTAATTTAAAAGGAATCTCCTGGGTACAAAGATAAATGGTGTGTGTTCCTGAGGGGGAAACTACATGTGTAGGCAGAACTTCATCTGTTGGTCAGCAGGTGAACTTAAACTAACCTTTTAACTTGAACTGTAATTTGTTTCTTCAGCCTTGAAACTACTGCAGTACAAGCAGACAAGATTGTGGTAGCACATATGTTTCTCTTGCAGATGAATGTTATATACTAGATTCAAGCTATTTATTGCTGTTTATTCATTTGGATTCTCCTGAGTCTTACCCCCATACACATCCATTTCCCCCTTTTTATACAAATTTCACAATTTTTCATTGGACAAGGTATCTACAGTATTTCAATGAAATTCTGATCTTTTAAATCATAATGGTCGTTCTTCAAGCTACTAAAATGCATGAATCATATCCCATTGTTTCCCCCCTGTAACAATAATTGCCTGTGAATTCTCTAATGCATGATTTAAATATGTGAACACAACATACGTACTTCATATTATAGATAAGTGAACTTGTAAAGGTAAAGGTCAAAAGCTCAAAAGCTAGTTGAATCTGACTCTAGGGGGGCGGTGCTCATCTCCATTTCCAAGCCAAAGAGCCAGTGCTGTCCAAAGACGTTTTCGTGGTTATGTGGCCAGCGTTACTAAATGCCAAGGTGCATGGAACACTGTTTCCTTCCCACCGAAGTGGTACCTATTTATCTACTTGCACTTTCTTGCTTTCGAACTGCTAGGTTGGCAGGAGCTGGGGCCAGAGATGGGAGCTCACTCCATCAGGCAGTACTAGGGTCTCAAACTGCCGAACTACAGACCTTCTGGTCTGCAGCTCAGCATCTTAACCTCTAAGCCACCGTGGCACCTTAAGTGATTTTACTCCTTATTAAATACCAAGAAAAACCTAAAACAACTATTAAGTAAACCATCAGTCACCACCAATGCTCCCTCTAAGCTGTGGAGTCTCATGAGCAAAAATTCTACATTGTGAGCTACTGGCATTAAAGTTTTGAGGAAGCAATTTGGCTACTGCATAGATTAGTTTGCTCTGGAACCTTCCTTCCTGAACTGAAACAAAAAGCTGGAGGCTAAAAAACTATGAGTCAACTCACACTAACTCAGCTTAGAGGAAACACTGGTCACCACCACTTTTTAAACACTTGCATGTTGATTTCTGTGATAATGGTTTGAGAGGGAATGTAGAAGAGATATAATAATAAAGACTGACTGGGATCCTATCAAGTGCAATCAGAGCTTTGCTTACATAAGCAAACTTTCCCACCTCCCTCCTTCTAATGCAGCCTGCTATATCTTCTAAACTCCTTCTCATGGAAGTAAAGAGAGGATCTGGAAAGGAAGGGGGAATCAGCAAAACTACCCACCCCTTTTTTCTGATAGAAGTATCTTCCATCAGTGGAAATCATGGTTAGGATCCATCAAATTGATGATGACTTGCTTATAAAACTTTGCAAATTTCACTTATCTTTAAATGTTTAACATTTAATCATTTCTGTAAACCATTTCCAGACTTGAAAATCCTCCAGTAATTAGTGTTTTCACTGTATGCCAGTTACTAGATTATTGTGGGGTTTCAGGTTTTTAAGATGGAAAAATGTATTGGTAAACAAGCTGAAGCATCCTTCTTTTATCTTTCTTGTAGGTTTTGTGGCAACTTGACATATTCCGACGAAGCTTGAGAGGTCTCACTGGACATGTTTGTCAGGGAAATGCCTGCATATTTTGTGCTTTAAAGGTAGCCATACAGTATTTCTGTTAAAACTACATCAAATAGATAATATAATTCAGCTGTATTAATCTATTAGATGTAATATTAGAATTAAGTTTGTAGGTCTAAAAGGCCAGCTGGCTGGTAATCATGCCTGATATGAAGTGGCTATCCTGATTTTATGTTGCTGATAGATGAAGATGCCTTTGGTTTTATGAAGAACCTTTTATAACTAACAAAAGAAAACAGTAATAATTTTATGAGAAGTTTGAATTTACAGAAACCTTATACATATGGAGCTTGGACTCAATGTAAAGCTTTGGTTTATAAAATAACATTTGTTAGAAGTTTTTTTGTACTGAATGGCTATAACAATTATAAGGGACCATTATAATCTAGATTGTCAGTGAAGAAATCATTTAATTATTCTTGGTTAGGTTTTAGGTGTATTTGGGCTGAGATTGCAACTTCAGACACATTCCCAATAGTTTGGGAATCAAAACTTGCATGTAGTCTTGGAAATAAATCAGATTCCATTTGTTGCTCCTTCCAGTGCCTTGGTAGAATATAGTTCCTTTTTATGGATATAGTAGTGTAGCACTTTTTTGGACAATTCAGAGTGCAGGTGCTATTATGACTGCATGCTTCCTCTTCTTTCTTTGATGGAGATAGGCAAAGAGTATATATGCATTTGTGCAAGTTGTGTTTAAGCTACAACTTATCCTATTTTTAAAACTCATTTCATGCTGCATAACAAAGCTGAGCAAACTGGCAGAGTGAAAATTCAAAATCACCTGCATTTTCTTAAGATATAAATCTACTTAAGTATAGCATCAGTTTGATGCTGTCAAAACTTTTATGGATTGTAGTGCAACAGACATCATGCTTTGCCTTACCTGGAACATCTTTTGCTTTCTACTACTTTAGCTTTTTGCTAGCTAAAGTGAATACTATAGGAGTGGGTAGAGCTGATTTCATGTCTTTGCTACATTGCTGCACTAGGCTTTGTGGGCAATTCTGCATTCTTTTCACTCCCTCTTACTGAACAGTGGACATATAAAAATATTCAGTAACAGTGCTATTTATTTTCAGGCAATATTTGCACAGTTCCAACACAGTCGAGAAAAAGCACTGCCATCAAATAATATGAGGCATGCATTGGCTGAAAGCTTTAAAGATGAACAGCGTTTTCAGCTTGGGCTCATGGATGATGCAGCAGAATGTTTTGTAAGTACACTTATTCCTAGTAGGGCATTTATTTAAGAAGTTTGGCTTTATTCTGTGTTCACTACAGTGTTTGTGCTGGAAATACTAGTCATGTTCAAATCTCCTGTCAGTTATATATTTTAACCTATTGCCTAGGGCTAGATGGGTAGCCGTGTTAGTCTATTTGTAGCAGTAGAAAAGAGCAAGAGTCCAGTAGCAACTTGGACTAACAAAATGTATGGCAGGTTATGAGCTTTTGTGAGTCACTGCTCACTTCTTCAGATACCATATCCACTGCACAGGACTGTTATGATAAGGATAGATCAAAAATATAGTAAAGTCATCTTCTGAACGTTAAAAAATTCTGTGCTTTTTAAAAAAATAGCATGTTAAAGGACACTTATAAAATACTCAAAAACAAAAACCATGTAATACTTTTTTATTTAGGATTTTTAAATATATGGACAAGCATGGCTACTCAGGGGATTTTTTTTCTGCCAGTATAGTATGTAAACCCATCATTGTGTGAACTGAAATATTTACTGATTCTTACCTGTACTAGAGTGTGATCTACATGGCAAACAATGTGTGTTATCACTGTTTTGTTTAGGAAAATATACTTGAGAGGATTCACTATCACATAGTGCCAAGCAGTGAAACAGATATGTGCACTTCTAAATCCTGCATTACTCATCAGAAGTTTGCTATGACACTATATGAACAGGTTAGGCTCTTAAAAAACCTCTATATTACCTTTATTTCCAAGTTTCTAAAACTAAAAGTTAAAACTTTCATTTTTTGGCTTTTGTATAGTGTGTGTGTCGCAGTTGTGGGGCATCTTCGGATCCTTTGCCTTTCACAGAACTTGTGCGTTATATTTCAACAACAGCCTTGTGGTAAGAGACTCATATATGTTTTTGTCTTGCTGCTGAAAACTCAAAACTGAGGAATACTAAAGTAATGTGACCAGGAGGCTCTTGTCAATATTGTTGTTTTGTAAGGATCTCCTGTGTACTGAAATTAGCATTCTTGGAGTACCAGATGATAAATAATAAACTGTGTGAGCTTAAATATTCATTCATATTATTATGCTCTTATGTTATATTGTGCACTGCTACGAAGTTACAAGGTCTCTGGTAGATTAAGAATTCAAGGAAAGTGTTAGAGATGGAGAAAGATGTGGAATTATGTCATAGCTGACAGTTACATACATTCAAGACAGAGGGAAAAGATTATCTCCAGTATAAGTTTATTGCATACTAGCAATGCTGTTTTTATCCCTTTCCTTTGTCATCACAATAGCTGGTTAGGCAGAAAGATAGTGAGTGGTCCAATTTCACCTAGTTTTACCTTTATCTCACTCTATTCCATTCCTAGCTGATGTAGATAGCATAGGGAAGGAGAGTGCTTTGGGCAACTACCATCACTTTTGAGCTGGCCTCAAAGAGGAAAAAAGTTAGGAAACTTTTCGTTATTTATTTATTTATTTTTTATTTATTTGGATTTGTTTCCCGCCCTCCCCGAAGGATGTTGTGATTGCAAAGCAGTATGCTTCTCCAGAAGGTCAGGCTGCCAGTTTCTGTCATTGATTTCACTTTATGTTCAGACAACTGAGCTAGTGGCCATTTGAGTATCCTGTGCATTGAGTTCTCCAGATATCTTCTACCCTGTCCAAAGAAGGGCCGAAGATACCTGGGCTACAGGTTTCCCTTCATATCCCCATATCCCATTTTTTCTATGGGCCTGAGATTATCAGAGGAGCTCCTGCTTACAATCCTCTTCAGACAGGTCATTTCTGCTGTTGCCGTCATAAGCACAAGGCTTCTGACTGGGGCAAAAGACATGACATGGGGCAGCTGAGACTTCTGCCCCTTCTCTTTGGGGTCCTGTAGCCGGGCCCTGCATCACTGGGATAGGGAACATAAGTAGACACTTTTCCAGACCTGTGTTTTTATTCTGTACTCTTCTTATGGGACTAGGCACTTCTAGCAGCTAGCCAGCCAACTATTCTTCAAGTTACTGGCCAGAGATCTGAAACTGAGCTTTTCTTTCACACCCGTTTCCCTTTTGGTGTTGTAGTCTGGGGGAAAGGATGGAAATGGCTGAAGGTGAGACTTCCAGGCCAAGGAGGTCAGAGAATTTTCTTAATCTGAGCAAAAGAAGGCTAAACAGCAGCTGTGTCACCCCCCCCCCCCCTTCAAGCTTTTGAGAAATTAGTTAGGCACTTCTGGGTAACAAATTCTTCCTGGGTAACAAATGAGGAAGTCCCTGTCTTTGTTGGAAAGGGTTGCTGTCCTTTCTACTGCAGTCCTTCCCTTTTCAGAAATTTTCTTCTTTGCATTCAAACAACTTGTGACACAGAATAATTTATCCCATAAAACTAAATTAATGTACCAATGCTATCATTTTCCTAAGCACCTCAAAGCCTTGTGTATGTCTTCCTAAATTTTATGCTGCAGTATTGTTCTTATAGTCAGTCAGGTGTATAACTAACGAGTCCCAGTGATAGGCAGAAAGGAGCTCTTAGAGAAATGTTAAGGCTGGTGTAACAGCATTACATATTTTTGTGGTCACCTCATATCTTTGCCTGAGTTGCCTCTGTGTAGGCTAACCAACTTGATCCCAGATCAAGCTTTGCTGGACGAGCTGTGCAAATTGGCATGAATAGCCGTCTTTTATTGTGGCTTTTTTCTTGGGTGCAATCTAGGTAAAGGCCTTAACATTCAGTGTAATAACTAGGATTTGTAGATTAGAAAATAAAAAATTTAAAAGACAAGAACTTTGGCATAGGAGGCTTCTGGCTTATAAAAATATTGATAGCCAGTTGCAGTCTCCATATTCAGAGTCACTCTGCCACTGAATGCCAGTTCTTGAAGACAACATCAAAGATGCATTTTCCCTTGTGAGCCTCCAAATGGATCTAGTGTGCCACTGTGCGAACAGGATGGGATTGCATCTGGAACTTCATTCTGATGTGGTAGGGCTCTCCTTATAATAAACTTTTTAAAATGACTTCATGCATTCTGCGTGAAGCTTGGGGGCTAAGATTTTAGGATACTGTCTGCCAAGATCCATGGTAGGCCCAAATTGGTACACATTTACCTGTATCTAGGTAATTGTCTGAGAGCTCATTCCTGGAGTCAGGCCTGAGGGATGTCTAGGTCATTCATATGAAACTGAGCATTTATAACGCATTAGCCCCACAAAGAATACCACCTGTGGATCACTTGCATGCCTGCTGGTCATGGTACCTCTTGCATTCGCAGGAGCTGACAAAACCAGTGGACACAGTGATCTCATGCATGATGTGGAAGTGGTGCTATAGGAAAGACTGTGTTCTAGATCAGGGGTGGCCAAACTTGTTTAACGTAAGAGCCACATAGAATAAATGTCAGATGTTTGAGAGCCGCAAGACATGAACAAATATTACACATGTTTTTATTGAAAAATATGCAAATTTGCTTTTATTAATATTAAATTGATATCTTTAGATGGGGAGGGGAGAAAGAGAGAGAAAGAAAGGTGGAAAGAAAGAAAGTGGAAAGAAAGCAAATAGATGGGGAGGAAGGGAGAGCTGGAAAGAAAGCAACTTTAACGTTAAATGTGTCCTCCAAGTCCCCCACCCCACCCCCACGCTGGCTAGCTTGGCTTGGAGAAAGGATTTAAAGAGACAAATGCCTTCTCCAAGACAGCTGGTGGGCGGAGAGAGCTTCGAGAATGCATTTAAAGTTCAAGTTGCTTTCTTTCTCTGCACTGGCTAGGGAAGGGAAGACCAATCGGGGGAGGCATGCCTCCCCTTTGCTTCCCCAGCTACTGTAGCAGGAGCCGCACAATATGTGTGAAAGAGCCGCATGTGGCTCCCAAGACACAGTTTGGCCACCCCTGTTCTAGATTGTTGTAAGGCTCCAACTTCAAAATCATGCTGAAGATCAGCTTGCTGGTACCTCTCCAGGTACATGACTCACTAGTTTGGTGATTGAGTCTGGGCATGCTGACAGAAGAACCAAGAAAATCTTGACTGCAAATATTGATATCTCAAGCTGGGCAGCCCATTGTGAAAAGGTGACTATTTAAGGGATATGTAGCCTATTAAAATCTAAGAAGAATATCAGGTGGTTTGAGCTTTGAACAGTATTTCTCTGCCTCTTGATCTTCTAGGATTAGATTACCAGTCATCATGTGCTAACATATATAGACAATCCCACCATGAAAGTAAATACAGGAAGAAACCAGGTCAGTCTCCCTTCACAGGGAAAGTGACACTGCTGTTGAGCTAAGTGCAAATCCACCTTAAGCCAGTCAGGATGAAACACACATAAAAACCACTAGGACATAGGTCAGGAGGTGACTTTTATCAGTGATAAAGTCTTTCCTACACTGATTGTTGTCTTAAACAGACGTTTGCATGTGTTCTTGTTTTCCTTTTCTTTCTCCTGTTCTACTGTCTCAACCCAACTGCATCTTGGATCTAGAAACTGTCAGCAGTTGTATTAGTTATTAATTATTTATTGTTTTCATTTATAGTCTGTCTTTCTTTTTGGGATCCAAAGTGGATTAAAAGTATGATAAAAGCATTCAGTTAATCATTAACATAACATTTTAATGTAACAGGGCTGTAGAAATAACTATTAATTCACCAGACAAATTCAGTTATGTCTAAATATTGGTTTAGTGTTTATTGTTTTATTTACAGTTGTAAGACTTAATGGAAAGCACATGGTAAAAATAGAGTTAAGCACTATTTATTGCAGTAGTAATGTCTGCTGAGTTGAATTTTTTACTGATTCTTCTTTACAGCAATGAAGTTGATAGGATGTTGGAAAGACATGAGCGACTCAAGCCTGAAATGTTTGCAGAATTGCTTCAGGCTGCAAATACTACTGATGACTTCAGAAACTGTCCTGTGAGTAAACGGGGAAAAAGACTCTTTTTGTTTGGACAAAGTTTGAAATTTTCTGTGATACTGATGACGCAACATTTTTTACAGATACAGATCTGTATAACTTATTACAATCTATTTTTAAATCTTTAGATTGTATAGCTGCCTTAAATTAGTGCACTCAGGGTGTGGAGGCAGGACAGGACCTTTAGGGAGAGTTGGGCTTGCCACTTAGGCGAGTGGATGAGCAACACTTGTTTTCTCTCCCGCATCTCTCAGTGTCTGTAGCTCAGTGTCTTCAGTATAACTTGTGGATTCCCAAAATGGGTCCCAAGTAGACCCACAGTACCTGCTTAATGTGCTTCCTGGTGCATTCTTCCTGCTTGAATCTTGAAGATAAAATCCAAAGAGTCATGAATGGAGCATAAAAAACCAACAGCCTAGGTAGTTTTGAATTGCTCCATCCTGACCAGTTGACTGTTCAGTAAAGTACTTATCTGAGCCTGGTGCTGGTGTTCCAGAGCTGTGTGTCCTCTCCCTGGTCACAGGCATAGACTTTTTCAGAGGGTAGCTGTGTTTGTCTGCAGTAAAACAGTTAGATTTGAGTCCAGTAGCACCTTAGAGACCAACAAGAGTACAGATTTATGTCTCTGGGTTCGGCAGTCTTTCTATGGCTACACAGGGGACAAACTTTCCCCTTTCTTTGGAAATGGAAACCACACAGCATCTCCTTTACAAAGCAAAGAGCTGAGCCTGGCTTTTCTTCCATCTCTTCAGTGCAGGAGATACTTCACAAGAACCCAGGAATTCCTTCCTAACTTAATGTATATATGTTGATCATACTTACAGCGGTGCTGAATGTAATATTTCTTTTGTATTTTTTAAATAAACTCTTCTAAAAAAAAACCTCAGGAAGCATCTGCAGTGAGCACCCATTCAGAAGCAGCTGGTTGGCTTGGAACTTCCAACTTATTATTTTTTCCTGCCTTTGTTGTAGTCATTGTGTGATTAGACCTTACATGTTGGTGATCATTTTGTGATGGTGCCTACTACACTCAGTCAAAATCCCAGAAATGCCTGCAGGTTCAACATAGTGGGGATTCCCATTGTAACTTGTTTGATTTTGTGTGTAGAATATATATTTCTGTGTACATGCAAACAGGCAAATTAAGAATTGGTCCCTTTTTGATGAATTTTATTACCTTAAGTGACAATATGGTACTTAATAGTTTAAGCCAGGTAATGATGTATATTGATTAAATAAAACCTAATTTAATCTTACAAAATACAAGTGTATATCTTTGTAGGCTTTCATTTGGGTCACCTTTCTTGGATTTCTTGGATAATAAAAAGTAACCATCTTGGGGCTCTGGGGCAAGTGATGCTCTATATTCTTGGTGCTTGGGGGGGGATCAACAGTGGGAGGGCTTCTAATGTCCTGGCCCCACTGGTGGCCCTCCTGATGGCACCTGGTATTTCTGGCCACTGTGTGACACAGAGTGTTGGACTGGATGGGCCTTTGGCCTGATCCAACATTGGCGTCTCTTATGTTCTTATGACCCTTTTGCATCAATGGTCCCCACCCATTCTGTCAACGCCTGGCTGTGCTGCAGAGGCATCCAAGCGACTGTCAAATAGCAGTTATCAGAGGGCTAAATAACAGTAATAAATCTACTTCTGTCTCTCCAGAAATCAATTGTAGAGAGTAGCAGCAGGAAACTCCATTGAATTAGGGCATAATTACTGATAGTTCCATGTTTATTTCTGTCCTTAATGATAAAAAGATAAAGGGTGAACTGAGACTTTTGTGTTCTACAGCTTTCTCTGTCACATACATATGTAATGGATTTTTAAAGATTTTCAAAATATATTGCACTATTTGTGTCTTTCTTTTTCTGCAGAGTAACTGTGGCCAAAAAATAAAAATACGTCGTGTTCTAATGAACTGCCCTGAAATTGTCACAATTGGTTTAGTCTGGGATTCAGAACATTCTGACCTGACAGAAGATGTCATCCGTAATCTGGCAACACAGCTGTATCTTCCAGGGGTATTTGAACAGTATTTAATATAAGCATTCAACTGTACACTCACAATTTTAAAAGAATTCCCAAAATGTTTGAGAGCTCCGTATACCTGCTAAAGCACCACTAAATGGTTGTTATTGATTAGTCTCTGAACTGCTAGATGGTGATCCATCATCATAAAGCGCTGTAGTATTCTTTTGCTGTCTCTTTCAATACTTGATCCTTAATATTATGCATTTTGTGGTAATTGAAACAATGACACTTCAAATGTTAAGGTATTGTCATAAAAATATTGTGCTTGAAGTTACTCTTAAAATACATGGCTGCAATCCTAAAAACACTTTCCTGGGTGTAAGCCCTACTGAATAAAATTAGACTTACTTCTGAGTAGACCTGCTTAGGATTGCTTCCATGGAGAGCTCTCAAGCTGAATTTTAGCACAGTAACAGGTTTTAACTACATATATTGGTAAATCCCAGTAGAACTTTAGCATAACGTACACTGGAAGAGACGCTGGCACAGGATTGTAAAATTAAGAGGAAATCATTTAATGTAAATGAATCATAGATTTACCATGCAGTTGTATAGGTTATGGTTATTTTTCTGACTTCAGAAAGGAACTGTGTTAAATGTTCAATTATATGGAATGTGTTTTTTTTTAATTCTCTGCCATACTTAACTTTTCTTCTCCCTCCCCCCAGTTGTTTTATAGAGTTACTGATGAACATGCCAAAAATAGCGAGCTTTTTCTTGTGGGGATGATTTGCTATGCAAGCAAACATTACTGTGCCTTTGCTTTTCATACTAAGAGTTGCAAATGGGTGCTGTTTGATGACGCTAATGTGAAAGAGGTGAGTGTGTCCTTTTAATGACTTCTTCTAATCTTTAAGACTTTGGTAAAACAAATTAACCTGAAGCTGTATAAAATGCAGATACTTTCTTACAAGGTTGCTGTTAGATGAAAAGAGTGTCTGCTACTTTTATAAAATGCTGGGGAAATTTGCAACCTCACTTTTAACTGCAAAAACAAAGTACAAATACATTGTATAACTGGTCTTTACTCCTCATATTTGAATATATTATATACACTTTACTAGCATGTTCAGATTCATATAGATTAAGTTTATAATGTACTTTTTTGCAATTAACATCTGCTTGGTGAAATAAACTTTAGGTTGGAACAAAATGGAAAGATGTGGTGTCCAAATGTATTCGGTGTCATTTTCAACCATTGCTGCTATTTTATGCAAACCCAGATGGTACACCTGTATCAACAGAAGATGCACCCAGGCAGATAATTCACTGGTCACACTACAAAGCAGGAAATGGAGAAGAACTTGGTAATAAAGAAATGTTTATGGACTAATAATTTAGTAAAATGAATTGTTTTCAATCTGTACATAGTCTACTAGTGTTTCACTAGATCAGTGCTAGGAACTGGGAACCAGTAGTCCTTCAGATTGTTCCCTCCCACTAATAGTATGGACTGGCCTTAATGTAATGAAGTATCCCCAGCCCTGATTCACTTCACAGGCAGTCACAAGTTGGAAAACTTGCTTCATGTTGGCCCAGGTCTAATGGTGCATTCTGCTTACTGTTAAAGCTAGGAAGTGGTTAACTCATCATAGAATCAGCAGTCCTGTAATGAAAGAAACATATCCCACCTATTAGCATGTTAAAGAGAAGAGGATGAGGAAAACTGGAGGCGGGTTGTAGAAAACTGTCTGGAGGCTAATGATTCAGGTGGGATAATGTTTCACGTGGATAATATAGTAGAAGTGGTCAGGTATTAAAAAGAGAGGAGGATGGATTAAGGTTAGCATCAAATTTCTTGTTGGAGGAAGGTGGGCTGTAAAGAGGGTCTTGTGTGATTAGAATGGTTGTATGTCTGATTTTCTGGTTATATTGGAAATAGCTATCTGCTACAGTTTTAATTTTTAGCTTTCTATATCTAACGTATATCTATAAGTTGTATGACTTCCTGATCAGCATGTTTATGCGTTATTACTTCACAGTGTTTTAAACTTACTTTGAATACACTGGTTAGCATAAGGTAATTTTAACTCTAGAAATGAGTAAGCTGTTTTGTCTGTAATATGTTTGACATCCCTTTTTGTAGGATTTGAAAAATCAGCTTTTCCTATGTCAGATGACATAAAAGAGAATGGGTTTGGAGAATCTGTTACTCAGAAGAGCAATAAAAGATATCAACCAGAAAACCCACCATTCAGTAGGAACCATATTCAATCAAGTACTGTCAGTAGACCAGGTATATGTATATGTGTGCATAATATGTAGCAAATTTTTAAATTGTTACTTTCAAGACTTATCAGGAACAGTGCTGCAAATGATTGTATCATTTGTGTAACACCTGGTATTTTCATTATTGAAGGTTCTAGCTGATTAGCATTTACAGCTGAAGTGTCAATTTTATGGCCCGCAGACCAGAAGTAGCCTGCCCATGGCTTTAATCAGGCCTGCAGTTCTCTTCTTCCCTCCTCTTCCCCCTCCTGTCCTCACCCTTTGAAGCTTGAGGCTGCCGAAGTTCCCAGCTCCCTCCATCTTGTGTTTGCCTGCTTTGGCAGGAAGCTCTTCTGGGCTTGAAAAGTTACAAAGAAAATACGGAATGGATTTTTCCATTAAGGTCCCTGCACCCAGACAGACTACTCTGGGATTGTTTCCAGCAATAGAAACAGTGCTCTGGGACTGGAATGACAGCCCCCGGAGTAGAATGACAGTCCCTAGCAATAGAATCTGTGTTCTGGGACTGGAATGATAGAGCACAGAGTGGAATGACAGCCCATGGGAGTAGCAGCAGCATTCTGGGAATGGAATTCCATTCTGGGGGGCCTCATTTCAACCCCAGAACACTTCTGTTACCCTCAGGGACTGTCATTTCACTCTAGTGGCTGTCATTCCAGTCCCAGAGTAGTTTGTCTGGGTCCAGAGACATTAATGGGAAATCCATTTTGATTTTCTTTGCAGTTTTGTCTGTGCTGCAATGTATTTCAATGGAGTGGAGCTTAAGAAGTTTCACTTTCCAGTATTTGTATAGCTGAAGCTGTTGCTTGCTGAGCCAGCTTGTCTCTACTGAATGGACTTGAGAACGGGTGCCCGAGTGAGTACTTTAACCTGGGAACCCACAGCCAAAGGGGGACAATTACACTGGAGAGCCACTGCCACTCTGAGTAGACCTGGGGGGGGGAGGTGAGAAGCTTGCAATGCCCAGCCATTTTATGTTCCTAGGCTCAGAACATTTTATATTTTTAGTTTCTGCTGTGATCCTTGTGCTTTTTCTTGATGTTTTATTTTAAAACTCAAATTGCCAAACCCCACTATTCCCCAACCTTTCAATTTTAGGCAGGCATCGTTTTGGGGGGGAGGAGGTTTGGGAGGTGTTAGGTATCAAAGACTGTTAAATAAAATATCACAAGAGTTTTAAGCATATTTGTATTTTAAGTAAAAAAAAATATCTTTAATTGTGTGTGTTTTTCTTTTATAAAGCTTATATCTCTGCTACCTGGCATTACATTTTATAACATGCATGGCCTGGCCCCACAAAGTTCCATTTATGTCAGATCCAGCCCTTGTAATAAATGAGTTCGACACCCTTGATCTACAGTAAATTGTGTGTCAAATCATCTTAGTTTATCTACATTTATTTGATACTTGAAGTTTCCCTGCAAAGTCCAGGGTACGGAGGGGAGCTGGGCCTTCCATGTAGTATTTTTGTAACTCATGTGCTAGACACATAGCAAGCAAACTCCAGTGTGTCTGCTTTCTGCTAGTGACATGCTACAGTCATCATCACATTGGTCGAAGGGGGGGGAAGTTCTAGGGTGGGTGGTCCTGCCTCATAATGAATTAAACTTTTAAAAACTGGTGACATTTGTAGTTGAGGCTATAATGAATATTGACCTCTGTGTTTGCAGGCAAGTTGGGGCATAATGAGCACAAGGAAAAAGCAAAGGACATCTCCAGAGAGTGTGCTCAAAAGGTAGCTGAGATGAAAAATTTCTCTTGCTCCCTAAGAAAAGATGCAGACAGAGGATCAAAAAGAGAGGCTGGGAAACAGAGAGGTAATTTGGAATTTATTAGTTTGAGAAAGCAAAGCAGCAGATGACTAATCTCCTTTACCTTTTAGAAATTTGTGCTTTAAAACACTGAAAAAATAGTGTTTGCTTTGATATTTTGATGTAATAAGGATGATTGTTTTGATGTAATAAGAATACTTAAAGCTGCAGGCCTAAACACGAGTGAGCAAGTCCCACTGAACTTTGTAGAAGTTACTTCCGAATAAACTTCCATTGGATTGAGTTGCATGACAGTTAGGGCTGCCAGCCTCTGGGTGGGACCTGGGTATCCCCCATAATTATAGCTCATCTCCAGACTACAGAGATCAGTTCCCCTGGAGAAAATGCATGCTTTTGAGGGTGGGCTCTATGGAATTGTACCCCACTGAGGTCCCCGTTCTCCCCAGGTTCCACCCCCAAATCTCCAGTAGTTTTCAAACCTGGAGCTGACAGCCCCCCCCCCCCTTGTTGTTGGCCAGAGTGGACCTGGCAAGCCTAACAACAGTTCAGGTTTAAACAGGAATTATTTAACACTGTAGGGAACAAAAAGTATAGAGTTCAACAATTTTGTTGAATAATTACTCTAAAATGTTTTACTTATTTAACATCTATATGCGCCCCTTTGCCCAGATTGCCCGGAGGTACGGGCTAGGGTGCCACCAATATGTGGATGACACCCAGCTCTATCTGCTGTTGGGCGGGCAGTCCGACTCCAACCCGGAAGACCTGGTTCGGAAGCTACAGGACGTGGCAGGATGGCTTAGACTGAGCCGATTGAAATTGAATCTGACGAGGACGGAGGTCCTGTGCCTGAATCAGAGCGGTACGGGGGTAGGGATCCCATTACCAGCCTTTGATGGGGCGCCGTTGGTGCCAGCACCGAGGGTCCAGAGTCTGGGAGTGCTCCTGGATGCTTCCTTAACAATGGAGGCCCAGGTAGCAGCCACTGCCAAGGCAGCCTTTTATAATCTCCGGCTGATCAGGCAGTTGGTTCCCTTCCTCGAACGCAATGATCTGGCGTCGGTGATCCATGCAATGGTCACCTCAAGATTGGACTACTGCAACGCTCTCTACATGGAGCTGCCCTTGGTGCATCTCCGGAAGTTGCGGCGGCCAGGCTGTTGTTGGGTCTTACTATGTGGGAACACATCCACCCTGTGCTAAAGGCATTGCACTGGATGCCAATAGCATTCTGGATTCGTTTCAAGGTGCTGGTTTTGACCTTTAAAGCCCTTTATGGTCAGGGACCTGTCTGTCTGAGGGACCGCCTTTCCCCGCATGTTCCCCAGAGAGCACTTCGATCAGGACTTCAAAACCACCTGGCCCTCCCTGGTCCAAAGGAAGTCAGATTGACATCGACTAGGACCAGGGCATTTTCTTTAGTAGCGCCGGCTTACTGGAACGAGCTCCCTGGAGAGATCAGGGCCCTGTGGGGCCTCTCACAGTTCCACAGGGCCGTGAAAACGGAGCTTTTCCGGCAGGCCTTCCAATAACCTCTGGGCCGACCTAGAGTTGACGCTTTCCAGAGCGGTAGTACAGTTGACAGCATGTGAACGCACTTTACTCAGAGAACCGTCATCGATAATAATGGTTTTAAATTGTATTATGCAGTGCTTTAGATTTTTGTATTGAATATATATATCGTTTTACTGGTTTTATGCGAGCCGCCCTGAACCTGCTTTGGTGGGGAGGGCGGGGTAAAAGTCAAAATAATAAATAAACAAATATTTCGGTGTTAAATTTACTGCATTATTACAACAGAAACAATCCTCTGTCAGTCACAGCTGTGTTGACAAATTCTCCAAAAAACCATTTAAAAATAATGTCATTTTCGTAGAGAACAGTCAGCTTTAATTCTGGTTTTAGTCTAGTGTTTTTCCCATTACTCCTAAATCCTGCTATCCAAGTACTTGGTATTGATTTTTCAAGTATTTTGCTGTACATGGTTTTCTGAAACTAGAAATAACACAGTGCAGTCCTGTGCAGAGTTATATCCTTCTAAGTCCATTCAATCCAGTAGGCTTAGAAGGGTGTAACTCTGTTTAGGATTGTACTGTAAGCCTTGATATGTTCTTCCATTTAACTGTTCCTCAGGGTTAACATTATATGTTTTGATTTCATCAGAACTTGTCGTACAAAATTCAAAAACACACTCTGACTTTCTGGTTAGACTGCAAAATGTCTACTGGGAAACTATAAGAGTACTGATATCCTGTGTCCATTTTCTGTTTCTAATAAGGATTGATGATCATGAAACCAGAAGTTCCATCAGTCTTATTGGTGTTTAGACTTTATCCATCTGTCCAGATTGCCTGGTTGGAGTTCAGCATTCAGATCTCTTATATATAAAAAGACATATCTGGAGTTAAGATTTATTTGAGGAACGATTTGAAATCCATAAATTTTCCTTCATGGGGTGAGGGCTTGACCACTCTGTTCTGTAATCCCCAAGTGCTTATCTAACCACGTGAATTTCAGAATCATTCTTGCCATCCTTTACTTTTGGTCAGGTCAATACAGAAGGGAAGATTGGGGTGAGGATTATCCTGTCATCCATGAGATGAACCTATTTCCTTACTGTTTGTTTTGCTTCTGAAATCATGATAATGTACAAATCTGCTGATGAACCCATTATTGTTGAGTACCTAACTTGGGAGAGCTTTAATTCAGGTCTCACCAGGATTGTCTTTGTTTATGTTTTTAGAGCTGTCTGGAGAAACCCGCAGTAATTTTAAACCAGGATCACCACCTTCTGGAAACGGATTTAGGTCACACTCTAATGAACGCATATATAATAGCCAGGGAAGGGGACCTTACAAACATGACAAGATGCACAACCAAATAAAGTCTGGTATTCAGGCACTGGGGTCAAATAAAACCAATGGCTTTCCTGATGGGGAGAAGGTGAGCCGTGGGAAGGCTGACAGTACTGCTGGTTATGACACAGATAGTAGCCAAGACTCTAAGGACAAAGGAAGTGTCAATAGCAGTAAAAGTCGAAGTAGGGGTTGGAAGCCCATGCGGGAAACACTCAATGTAGACAGTATCTTTAATGATACTGAGAAAAAGGAGCATAGTTCAAAGCCCAAACTAAATGCAAGCAGCAAATCTAAACATGAGAAGGAGCAGAGTTCAAACAACTGGCCAAAAGAAAATGCAAATCAAAAAGGCCTAATGACAATTTATGAAGATGAAACAAAACAGATGGGCAGCCGGAACTCCTTGGATTCCGAAGGCAAAGGAAATGCAGAAAAAGGCAAAGGCTTTACCGAGAGAAAAATTCACACTGACGGTTGGCAGATACAAAGGACTGAGTCTGGTTACGAAAGCAGTGATCATATCAGCAATGCATCTGCTAATCTGGATTCACCAGTCATTGAAGGAATCAGCCCCGTAGACACCACAACTATGAAAGAAACGGTTCCTTACAGGTAATTGTAGTAAATGTAAGTAGACTTCATGTAAAAACTGAATATGATGACTCATTGGTACAGGAATGATGCGTCATAAGTTGCCTGTGAGATGGAGCATAGACCACTTTTCAAGTGGGTCTGGAAAATAGCAGCATCAAGATCCAGGAAGGAATATCACTGAAACAGCTTTAACTCAAGTACTGGACAAATGTAGAGAGTTCCATTCATCCCCATGTTTGCCCATAATCCAGAATTTAGAATCTGAGAAAGCAATGAAAAAGAATAATTTTAAACCTTCCATAATTTTAAACTTTCCATATTAGTCTGTCAGCTTTGTAAGAGGGTATGCAAATAATTCCCTTTCCAGAAATCAGACAAAAACTAAAGATAACGCCATCTTGTCATACTAGTAGGCTCACAAAAATTATTCAGTCTAATCAGCATTGCCAGTTTACTAAAATAAAATGTGTCTTAGTTAGACCTGAGAATCAGAAAGTTGCTAGACTGTATGCTACTTTAGCTGATACAGAAAGAAAAGTTTATGTACACAAAAACAGATGGGAACAAGATTTATTAATCAAAATACCAGATGAGACATGGTTGAAAATGTATAGGAACAGTGCAAAACTTTCAGTAAATGTAAGCATGACAGAAAATTCTCTGCAATTGATGTACAGATGTTATCTTATACCAGTAAGAACAGTCAAACTAACAGCTTCAAAGACCTGCTGGAGTTTTAAGAACTTTGGGGGGGGAAAGTGCTTAAAGTCTCGGAAAAGATAACCAAAAAGAATTTCATATTGTCCTGTGATTGCTCTACTGGCTTAATCCACCAGAGAACTTAATCTGCATAGCTTGTTGTAATAGCTACAGCAAGAATCTTAATGGAAACTAGGTAAAGTACCTTCTAAAGAAATTTGGCTGTGAAATGCTTACCATTGCTTGAGAACTCTCAAAGCAAAATAAGATCCACTGAGGCTCAGACAGACTAAGGAAGATGAGATTGTGAGAAGATGGGAAAGATTCTGATTTCAAAATCTTTTTTTGGTTACCTGTTCAATCCATTAGTTGCTTTGTCATTAAAGGTAAATGAAACTGTGTGACTGATGACTAATAACAAAATATGCTTTGAAAGGACTGTGTGGGTAGGGGTGGTACAGGGCTTAAAAGTTCCTATATTTGCAGTACAATGGTTTTAAATAATGAAGCTTTTTCACATGGCCGAAACAAGTAAATCTTTCAGTGAAAGCATACTCAGTTCTGTACCTACTAATTGATAGTATTAGATTCCCCCCATCCAAATCTTTTACTACAACTTCTTGTTTCACAGTGACCAGAATCTATGTGCCAGATATCCTGGATATGTCTTGCAGTCTACCTCCCAGCAGAATAAAGACTCTTTGGATGGTAAGAATTTCATCTTTATCTGAACTATACACTAAAATAATTAAAATGGACTAAATAAAATATTTTTCAGTTGCTAGGGCTTTAAGCTTGTAATACTTTTTCATTCTGGATTGTTGTCATAGCATTCCCCCCCCCCTCAGAGTTCTAAGTGATCTCTTGAGACATCTATTGCTGCACCTAACACTACATCTCTAACATATCTTAATTTTTGTAATGACATTCTTGAATTCTTTCTTTAGGACACCAGTTAGCATAAATAATTAGAACGTGTTTTCCTGAATTCAAAAAGTGACTGTCACAATTTTGTATGCGATGAAAGCAGGGGAGCCAGTTTGCTTTTAGTGTGTTTGCAGACTATCACTGACTGAAAGTGTGATAGTTGAGAATATATGTAAAATTCCCAGAAATATTGAAGCCATGGAGGAAAAATGGAATTACGGGGAAAATAGAAATGTATGGACTTTTCCAGCAAAAATCAAACTTAAAATTGCAAATATACCCATACTGGAGAAAAGAGTTGCAAAATGCTGCACCGTATGCTGCCTTAGCATGCGTATCTTAACTTTTTCCATCTGAGAGGCAGAAGAAAAATAATTTGGCGGTAGGAAGCATATTTTGTATTAAGTACAAGGAAGTGTGTTTGGCAGAGCCACTCACACAGTCACAATAGGTAGGACTTATTTCACCATATTTGGATAAAAGCTTTAAAATGGAAACCGTGAACTCTTCAATTATGTATTATCAAACACATAATTTGTCGTTGCCAAAATTATCTATGTTGAAACACAAAAAAACCCTTGAAAATATGTTGTGAATGTCTATAGTATATAGAGGTGGTATTATTTTCTAATACTGTAGACTCTTACTTAAATTTTCATAGTCACTATTTTGAGTAAAACCTAGTCTTAAAAAGCGTTTTACTCATTTCAAAAGAGAATATTTCATAGGGGTCTTTTTGCCAGTGGTCTTCAAAACTTCTCAGTTTGTTCCTTGGAACAGTTTTAAAAATCCATGTATATCAATTCGTGATATACATCTTGAGTGAGAAAATATTTTTCAGTTTCTTTTCCTGAGGCATTCACATGTCCACAAGTGAACATGGAGAAAAAATGTTTTCTTAAGAGATCTTTTTCACACACACACACACACACACACACCACCACCACCACCACCCACAATCCTTTTGGATCCTAGGCATGATTATTTGCAGGGTTGCAGGACTTACATGGACTGTAGTCCGCAAGGAGAAGGGTTCAGAATCATTCTGTTCTTCCTCTTCCATCACTGGTTCTGCTGCCTGAAGAGGCAGAGTGATTTTATCCCCTTCCCTTCTTTGCCGTTTCATAGCTTCATGTGGCTATTTTCCATGTGCATCTTGCAACCATGGGAATAAATTTTTCTGGGTTTGAAGAGGACTGCTGAGAAGGGGGATGAGCAAAACATCCATGACTGTCAGAACCTTTCACTGATAGATCACAGAATTCAGCCCTGAAACAGGAAGAGCATAAATCTTTCATTTTTAAAATCCTTTTGTTTTGTTATTAGATTTACTTTCACTTCTGTACCAAGGGTCCCTCTCCCTTCATTCCCTTCTACAGTTAGTGGAGCTGCTGTTATGACAAAGTAGTTTCAAGCCAGTGCCAGTGAATGGTTATAATGAAGACAAACATAGCTAAAGTGTAGGCATAGACATCTGTTACTGAATGCTGCAGCTACTGCATGAACACCAAACAAGGAAGCTGGAGCTTGACTTTCTTTCTTCACCCACCCTAAGCCAGTCCCATTGCTACCACTGCAGTCTCCTACCCTCCAGTGGCCGTTGCTGGTGGAGAAGTGCTGTGGAGAAGTGCTGTCAAGTTACAGCCAACTCCTGGCAACCCATAGGATTTTCAAGAGAAAAGATAAACAGAGGTTTGCCATTGCCTGCCTCTCTGTAGCCACACTGGACGTCCTTGGTGGTCTCCAATTAGGGATGTGAATTCAGTTCGTCCGAACCAAATGCACCCCCGAAAATGGCCCCTTCGGACCCCTTTCGAGCTGCTGCAGGCTGATTCAGATTCTCAGATCTGAATTGGCTTGCAGCTGAGGCAATTTGGTCCCATTATATCCTATGGGCCACTGAAGTCAATGGTGAAAACGTAGGGTATATTCTGGGGGCTGGAAGGGAGGGGGTTTGAGGGAGAGGCTCCAAACTCGCAGGGTAGCTGCTGGCGCCTCTCCCCAAGATACCAACCAAGTTTGAAGAACATTGGGCTACCCTGCAAGTTTGGAGTCTCTGCCTCAAGCCCCCTCCCCTCCTGCCTCCAGAACATACCCTATGTTTTCGCCATTGACTTCAATGGCCCATAGGATATAATGGGGCTGAAACTGACATTCGCCTGGCGGAAAGACTCCCCAATCAGCTCCTACTGACGAAACTGACATGCGGGAGTCTTACTGCAGGCCGAAATTGATTCTGCCCAATTTGGCCGAATCTGAATGGGCCAATTTTTATTTTTTGCACGCCCCTATCTCCAATCCAAGTACTAAACTAACCCAGGCTGACCTTGCTTAGCTTCCAAGATCTGATGAGATCTGGCTAGCCAGTTGCCTTTAGTGTACCACAAACTTGGCTGGAGACACGCTGCATAGGGTAGTGGTAAAGGACAGAGCAGAACGGAGGAATGGGAACCAGGGAGTGTTAACAAGATGAAGAAGAACAAAGAGAAAGCTGGAAAGGAGTGCAGGAAGGAGGCCAGCAAGTGGATAACATGTTAGATCACTGGCATAAAGGAATTTGTAGAGTAGGAAGAAGCAGTAATCTGGCAGAGCAGCTTGGACTCATGTTTTGGAAAAGTAACTCTCAATTTATTTGTTTGATTTATACCCCACCCTCCCCACCAAATAGATAGGCAGCACAAAATGCTGCTTAAGTTTGAAGTTTATATATGCAGAAAGAAGATGCAACTAACATTGGTGAATTACTGTGAAAACGACATGGTCTTCACTACAAAAAATAGCCTAAAATAGCTATAGGATGCTATGCACAATAGAATATAAAGCTGCAGTAACTAAGATTGGAGGAGAGCAGAAATAATACAGCATGTGTTTTATTTGTTATACCCAAGTAGATTATGAATTGACTATAGTAGTATTAACGTGATGGGAATGAGTGTGGATAGGGATTATTTTTCATTCTTGTGCAGCCAGGGATAGCAAAATGATACTCATTTTTAACAGAAAGAATATAATATTTTTATCATGAATGCTTACATGTCTATATTAGAAACCTGTGTCTTCTTTTTAAAAAGGGTCACTACTTTGGATAGCAAAGCAATCATTTTGGCCAGTCCAGGAAAATCTGAGAGTTTCTGTAGTATTGTATAAATCTTCTAATGAATTCTAAATATAACAGAAAACACAATACATTGTTTAACTGTTAAAAAGTTGAATTCTGTTTGGTAATGCTTAAACCTTTGTAGTGTAAGGCTAATATTTGCCATACTTAGTTTTGACTAGAACCTAGAGCCAAAATTTCTACTGGACAGCCTCTGGGTTTAACCATGCATGGATTTTCATGTCAGCAGAAGAGAAAAATAACACATCTATTTTTAAGTTAGCTGGAATTCTGAATGTGCAAGCCTCCGGGTGTCGGTGCGCAGCTTTAATTCAATGCTTGCCATAGTGATAACCATGTAGAAATTGTGTCTCATAAACTTTTGCTGCCTCCTCCTGTTCAGTGCATGTAAATGTTTGACAATATACAGAAATCTAGTAAAGTAACCTGACTCTGAAACCTTAGCATGTTTTGTATGAAGAACACATCTTCCATTTGTATGTTTTTTTAATTGAATGTTTTTTCACAAATCTAAAAGGTTCAAAAACATTTCTTGCAGGCTAACTTCATTGTGTTAATTATCCTCATCCTAGATATTTGCCCATGTATTATCTACCTTTAGTGCCAGTATAACACTATGGCTTACTGCTAACTGCTACCTGTCTTCTGATACTAGCTTTATGCCTTGTGTTTTAAATTCATATGATATTTTGCTATATAAGATGACAATTTTAAAGCAGTGGGAAAATGGGCCACATTAAATACACATGCTCAAATTTCTCCCTTAATTCGTGCTTTGCTTTGGCTGGATCATGCTGTTGGTGTCCAAAAAATCCTAAAAACATTTTGTATCTTATTTATGTTTAATCACAGGATGTTGGAAGGATATTTTTAACTATATTAAACAAACTACAAGGAAGAACATGCCTGTTTTAAAAAATGAGTGCTGGTATTGCTGACACTTTCCCTTGCATCTAAAAAGATTAATGTTATACAACAAGTTCTGATCTGGTCTGTCTGTCTCTCTCTCTCTACTCATACAACCATAGCCTTGAGCAGAAAATAACAAGTTTGTGCTTATGTAAATATGTAATGTTGGTCTGTGATGGTGTGAAGAAATGTTGTAATAGTTAAATTGCATATAAACACTGTTTTGCAGCCTTGAAGAAAGACCAGATTAATACCCAGTTTAACTACAGAACTCATAATCCCCAGTCAACATCCCATTTGCAGATGCAGTGTCCACTACTGAAAAGGTAACACTTTTGCACTATGCAGTGACAAGCGTCTACGGGGTAGGCAACCTTTATGATGCTGGTTCCAAAAAAATGCAGTGTCTACAGGTGAGGATGTTGGCATGCCTGCAAACAAAATGAAAGGGCTGAGAGACAAGAGTCAAACATGCTTGGAGCAAGCGAAATCCCAGAGATTCATCTGGTGGCTGTGCAGCTCTGGGAGGCAATGACAGGCATGGTGGTTTAAAACTAAACAATGAATGTTGCCCCTGAAACTGCTTTGTTTAAACTATGAGATTTAAAGAGAATCTAGAAATATGCACCATATTTCAGGCTGTAGTATTTTCCAGATTACATTACATGTAATTTGCATGAAGCTGGTTTTGAATGCATCTTGAAACTGCAGTTGGTTCAGAATACAATGCCTAGGTTATTAACTGGGGTTGGGATGACTACCTTGAGCCTGTTTCTCCAATTTTTAAAGATCTGCACTGGCTTCCAATCTTTCTGGGTGCACTTCAGAGTTGGTGTTGACCTATACAAATGGTCTGTCATCAGCAGCCTTCTCTCATTGCAACCTGTGTGTATGCGACAGATATACAGAAGCCTTGCTCCAGGTGTTCTGACCATCAGAAATTAGTTGGTAGACAACCAATAGTAGAGTTTTCTTGGCTTCATAAGACATCCTCTTTTCTTCCCAATGCAAGGAAAAATCAGTGTTATTCAGACAAGTATTTGGGTAGAAAGGCAAGATAAAATGTATTTTAAAGTACTAACCTTCATTCCCACCCCCATTCCCACCCCCCCATCCCCAGATGCAATAGAGCATTTCAGTCAGATGAGATAAGGAAATAAAGATGTATTAATCTAGCAAAATTATTTATGATGGTTGTCTTTATGGATGGAGGGCATCCTTGTTACAAGCATACTGGAAGGGTGCAAGTTCCCTTTTGTGTGGCATTCCCTTTGGATCCCTCTTAGAGATAATCTAGTGTCAGGTTGTGCCTTCACCTTAACAATGTGCTGCATCCTGCCTTTTAGTTTGATTACCACTTGCACATTCTTCTAGCACAAGACAATCTTGCATAAATTCAACACATCTTGTGACCGGGAAGGTCCTTGTCCTGTAAAAAAGTGCTGGTCCTGATGGAACAAAATGGTAGGATCCAACCTAGTATTCAGTTAGATTCAGGCAGGTAGCCATGTTGGTCCTGAAGCAACAGTGGCACTTTTAAGGCCAACAAAGTTTAATTCTGGGTATAAGCACACAAAAGCTCATTCCCAGAATTAAACTTGTTGGTCTTAAAGGTGCCACTGGACTCAAACTTTGTTCTAGTAGTCAGTTGCCATTCTTATTTTCCCCATAGCTACTTACTTATATGGGAAAAGGTGGTTCACTAGTGGGGGACCTAAACTTGCTTCATTGTTGTTGGTGCTCCCATTCATTTAGATTCAATCATATTTGCATCTGAGTGATACTGCCTTTTCCTCTGCATAGCCTATCTTGGAGTTTATGTCTTTGGACATGCAAAGAATGTGAAATATTGGGGGGAGTTGATTTACCTCATTGATACACAGCTCAACCAGAACTACTGAAATATATGAACTACTTTATCACAAACCTGTGTTTTTCTAGACTAATGGACTGTGTTGGTATATTGTCTCCTAGGATTGATGTACCTGATTGTAATAAGAAGTTTCCCCCCTCATTAACACTACAGACCACTTCAAAAGACTACACTGAGAGAGAGAAGAAGAACTGTGGATTAAGTGAGCAAAGCTCACAGTGGCCTAATCAAGATATGCTTGAAGAAACTAATGTTCACATAGCAGCTGACAGTTCAGCTTGCTGTTATAATGATGATAACTTTGCTATATCCGAAAAGATTCAGAGCATTAGTCTGTCTTCCCACTTGCCTCCTTCAAAGACAGGTAGATCCAGACCAGCACTTGCATTTTGCTTGCAACAGAATATATCGAAACCTTCCTATACTGAATCAGTTCCACCTGCCGAACATAAAATACATTTGTATGGTGGCAAAGCTGATGATATGCCAGAAGCAGTTTACCAAAATCTTCCTCCACCTTTACCTCCAAAGAAATATGCTCTGACCAGTTTCCATGGATTAGAACATGAATCCACTGTTGAATTAATACCAGCAGAAATACTGTATACTAATCCTTCAGGTGTTGAAAGGCATGCTGTGAGTATTTCTTCAAAAGCTACATCTGAAGCAGGTCTATTTACAGATGGAGAAAGAATTAAAGCAACATTTCAAGGGAGTGAGTCCTCCAGGGCCAATGTTCCATCAAGCTTATCAGTAAATGATTTGTGGACTGTATCCAGTGATCCTACAAATAAGGGTGTGTCCCACAAAGGACTAAGTGCTGGCTCCCTGGATGCAAATGCAAATGACATTATATCACTTACTACTTATTTTTCGGTTGATAATTGTATGACTGACACATACAGGATGAAATATCACCAAAGACCCAAACTGTATTTTGCAGATACTGGTGTATTGAACAAAGAAACACCTTTGCCACCAACTGGAATGCTACTGAACACTTCATACCATAACACTGCTGATTCAGAGTATCCCACAGCTGAGCAGAGATACAAACCTAGCATTGAAAATGTGCATTGCAATAGGTAGATGCTCTCATAAATGAGTATAATCCTTGGCACTCTTAACACGATGCAATGTTTCGGCTATCCTTACCTCACCTGTACTTTATGAAGTTAATGCTATTTCTTAGGTGTGTTTGCACATGCATGTATGATCAAGAAAGATGCAAAGACTTCTGGTCCTATGTTCATGAGATTGTTGCTGCTGCTTTAATAAGATTTGCACCTGTTATTAGCAAATAGGGAGTTGTTTAGCCTGTTACACTTTGAAATTTGAATTTCAAAGCAATCCAATTTAAATAGATATTTATTTAATAACTGGGAATAGTCTGCTTTTGCCAAGTAATTAAAGCTGCTCCTTTAATTCAGTTTAATTTAGAACATGTTCTCAAGATTACAGGTTGTCTTGGATCTATTAAGGTATCCACAGGTGCAAGGCTTTCCTGTCATGGAGCAGCCCAAATGGCTCCCCAAATCCTGTTCGAGGGGGGGGTCTCCTCTCCTTCACAGGATTTTGGGCTGCCACAGGAGAGGAAATGGGCAGAAATCCTTGCATTTATGGTTATGTCTAGTCTGGATCCAAGTCACTGATTTGCAATACCAATTTTAGATTCTGTTGTCACTTGTATTAATGAATTAACTTCTGATCTACTAGAGCACTTTCTTTAACCTTCCAGGCATCATGCTTCCTTTAATCTTCAACTCTCATTTTCATTTATAGTCAAGAGAGTTATTTGCAAAATGATCTCAAGTGTTTTTAGTATCTCTAACGTGGACCTACCTTCCTGTTTTGGAATAGTAGGACAAAATCCATGGCTAATTGTTGTAAGCATTATTTATTCTGTGTTGATTTTGTGGATACTTTTAAACATAGAGACAAAGGAAGCATGTAACAATTGTTGGTATAGCCCCGCAGGGATTGTACTACCCCAGATTACAGCGTAGAATTTTTGCCCCTATAATTTTGCCCATTGTATAGACTTATTATAATAGAACTCATTTTCTTAATTATGTGTTTTATATGAGATTATTTTTTGCATGGGAGCATGATCCCTGAAGATTTAGGAGGTAGTTTCCAATAGACAATATTACCTCAGTCAAGTGTACAGGAATCTGCCTGTAGCAGTGAACTGGCATCATGCTACACTTGATTTTGCAAGGTTTTTCTCCTGCCCAACACAGTACTATGATGGCATTGTGTAGCTGTTTGTCTGTCCGCTGCTCATTTCCATGGGGCTTGGGGGCCCTGCAAAGGACACTCTTTTAAAAAAAAAACAGTTCTGAGTTCATGAAGTGGGCTTTTGCTGAGGATGTGAGAGCAGAAAGCACTCTAAAGTGTCACTGAAGGTGCGCAGGAATCTTACCTAGAGCTTCCTATAAGATTGTGGTAAAGGTGAAAGTGCATTTAATAGGAATATTGACTTGCACTTGAATTCAGGTACTTTTAGTAAAAAGTTATAGTAGTTCTAAAAGACTTAGTACTAAAAATATTGTTTTGCCTTGTTGCACTGGTAAAAGATGGAGAGTATTTTTGCTATTGAGATTTCTATATAAATCTAACTTGGAAAAATGCTGGAGGCATACATTGATAATTGGAACTATGCACAGAATGGTCCATATTATGGAAACATGCTTCCTAGTACTCATAAATCACCATAATTTATTCACCTAAATTCTGTGAGTTAGTCCTTTCCATCATTCCTGGAAATCTTTAATGCATCTATCCAGCAGTTTTGGGGTTTTTTAAGCTTCTGAAATGATGCCTTAATGAGTGGCTTAGATTTTACTTTGGTGTATGAAATGGTAGCTAGAATTTCTAATAGCAATAGGTGTTTCATACAACATAGTTTAAATATTGCAAGGTGCATAGCAATTACATGCAGTAGAGGCTATCCTTGCTCTACATGAAAGATTTTCATATCAAAGTGTATAAATGATATATTTTTGTATTAAAACTTGCTATGGAAAATAGTGTTTATAATTTTCTGCATGAAAGGAAAATATTATGTTGTCCTAATGTCTTATTTAAAATGTATTAGTGGAGCACAGGATGTATTCCTCAGGAACTCCGGTCATGGGATAAGCCAGCCAGTCTTGTATTCCTTTGAAGAAACTTTAAATTCAGCTTTCTCCTCTAGATTCTGTTGGATAAAAATTAATTCTACAGCAGCTTAGTCTTTGAAATACTTTTGATAAACATTTTAGCTAAAAGAAAGACCTACAAAGATGGCTATTTTGCAGAAGAGAGTTGACTATACTGTAAATGCCTTTAAAATTTTTAAACATATTGATAGCTCTGATATTTAAAACATTATCAAATGCTTGCATTGTAGCTTGATAAATGCAGAATGCAAGTTTGTGCTTTTAACCAAATGCTGACAATCATAGCGTAATAGCCCAAGTTTAGTTAGAGACTTTGGACTTATTACTTTGCCCCCATGATTCTGCTTGACTTGAAATTGAGACAGGACTTGGACTTGGGTGTGGCCTCCCCCAACTCCCCTCACCCTGGGGATAAAGCAATGTAGACATTGGAGGATCCACATTTATTTGAATGTGATCTTACTAACCTTTCCCACAATTACCCAGTGTACTTGTAGAAACTCAGTAATGTCTGAATAGGCCTGTTATGTTTACATTGACAGTGTCTTAACCATAAACATTACCTAAGATGTTACGTAATACGCAGCAGATTAAATATCTCAAGCAGTTATTTTAGATCTTGTTGCCTGCCCCCCTCCCTAGCGGTAGTGTTTAGGATTGCTTTTGCAAGTAGTATTGCTTTATTGAAACATGTACATATAAAACATTTATATGAATGCAAGTGAAACTGATCCTATCACCTTCAATCTAGGACAGAAGGAACTTTACCTAAAAGCAGCTGTATAAAGTTATTGCCAGTTTCTAATGCTTGTTTTTATTTCAACTTTTTTATCTTTTTCCTTTTACACATGTATAATAAATAATATAAAGCCTTTGTAGGTAAAGATGAACTAGTAAATAATAGAACTGATATTGTACAGTTTAAAGCTCTTACTGAAATTGCGTGTTTGAATTTGCAGTATTTAAAAACTAACAAATGTGAATGACTTAATGTAAGAGCATTACTACATTTTAAAAATGTGCAAAGCAATGTTTAACTCGTAAATTTGTATATACAGTGCTAACAAGCACAATAGTAAACTTACTCTACTTACTAGTAGTTCAGTAGCATCATGCATTCTGAAATGTTAATGTTGTTTAAAGGGGCTTAGGCATTCATCTTTACTTAAGTCTTGATAGGCAATCTTTTGTACAGAATTGTGGCTTCAAGTCAATATTTAGTCATATTACTGAAAGTTAAATTTTATATCTGACCTAATGTTCTATGTAGATTAATATTTGTTAGCAACTGTGCAGAAACTGATTTTTTGACTTCTCCTGGGTGCCTACTTTTTATAATTGTTCCATAAAAATTATAGATTTGTATAACTTTTGTAATGTTAAATGCATACATGTTGTATAAAGGATATTTTCATTGTCTTTAGCAAATTTGAATCCAGAGTTGCATTTTTCTGCTTCTTCAAGGTATTGGATGAAAAGAGTTAACCTGTACAGTACAATTTCCATATTATCCTAGTAAGATTTGCTTAATTCCTGCTGTTTTTCAAGAAAGCAGGGTATTCCTGGTCACTGTTCAGTATAGCAATTGTGAGTCCTTGAACAGCAAGAAACACAGGATTGGATCCAGTGAATTTTACTGTCTTACCCAGTTTTCCTCCCCATTACAGCCTCTTTCTGTTGTGTATGCAGGTCCTAGCCCCAGTATAACTTTTTTTGAAGGCCAAAGTGTGTGAGAAGGTCCTTTTTCACTAGACAAATTGACTGGCTCTAATTCACGACAAAAGCAGCTGATGAATTCTTTAGCAACCAACAATGCTGAAAAATGCTATGCAGCAGAATAGTAACAAACCTTTGAATTAATATGGGTCTATGTAAGTTGCTGAATTTTTGTGAAGCAAACCTGAACTTGATTGAGTGGATTTGTACCTTATCATGGTGCCTTTCAAACTTGTTTTGCTGTAGCTGAAAATATTTTCATTCCTCTAATGAAGGAAGGGAGGAAAAGGAGAGATTAAAAGTGTTCCAAGGGGAGGGGGGACTTGCTCCTTTGTGGAGATAGAGGCCTAGTTGTGTGATTAGCAGTTTTAACCTATTTTACAGTAAACTGTTCTGACCCATTTTACAGAGCACATTACAAGTAAACAGTGCTGTATTATTTTTCATGAAATGTATTTAAGTTGATCCAAACAACTTTTCAAAATGAGTATCTGAACCAGAACTAAGCCCAAATGTTTAATTCTTTGATTCCATGCTTACATCAGACTAAAACTTTCAAGGCAAATGTACATCCCTTTCCATTTCTGGAAATGCAAAGTCAATCATTTTCACGGAAGAGCCATAGCTCAGTGGTAGAATGTCCACTTTGCAAACAGGTGTTCCTAGGTTTAATCCAGGGGTGTCAAACATAAAACATGGAGGTTAAAAATCCACACAATGTCTGCCAGGATAATCCCCCACCATTTGCAAGAAAAAACTAATGAGGTGTGTGGTAAAACCTTTTAAAATATCTTGATTGCCATTATAGGTTGCCTAGGCAACTCAAAATGGTAGTAAAGGTAGTATGAGAGAGTCTTACAAGATCTTGGCACTTTTAATCATTTTGTGTTACTGGGGGAAGCTAAAAATAGCAAGGGCAGAAAGGGGGACAAAAGAGACGTAAATGTAAGGGAAGCAAAGACAGCATGGGGATGGGGCCAGTTTGGCCCGGGGGGGGGGGTAACAAGGACCCTGTGGCTGCAGTCACACACACTAAATAATCCACTTTCAAATGCACTTTCCAGCTGGATTTTGCCAGTTCACACAGTAAAAATCCAGTTTGAAAATGGATTATTTAGTGTGTGTGACTGCAGCCTATGACTTCTTGCAGATCCCTGGCTTGCCCATCATTAATAATGAACTCCTGGTGGGTTTCAGTTCTAGCCTGTCTACTCCATAGCCAGTTCAGTTCAAAACTTGCTTAACTTTCTAAGAGCAGGTACCATGCAGTATGAGATGCTGCAGTTTGAAAAGTTACAATTGTTTTAAAAA